TTTCTAAAATACAGACAGGTATATCAAAAAGCTCTATTGTAAATCTCAACATACTACGACATGGATGAACCTTGAAAAATAGTACTAAGTGAAATAAGCCACACACAAAAGGACAAATACAGTATGATTCCACTTATACGAAATACTTAGAGTACATAAATTCATAGAGACAGAATGCAGATTAGAGGTTACCAGGAGATGGAGGGGGGAAAATGTAGAATAATTACCTAAGAGGTACAGAGTTTCTGTTTGGGGTAAAGAAAAGTTTTTGGGAATAGTGGTTATAGTGGTATGACACTGTGAATGCAATTAATGCCATTGAATTATACACTTAAAAGGGTTAAAACAGAAAATATTATATTATATACATTTTAATGCCCCCCCCAACCCAGGAACGCTGGTGACCATTTTGAGCACCTAGGCTTAATTCTAAATATGCTGCCCTAGTATGTCTCACAGATATTATGAACTAGGTGATGCTGGAAAATTTTTCTAACTCTGAACTTCCATTTCTCCTCAGTGATAAAAGAATATGACCATCTACCCTTATAGAATGGTTCTGAGGAATAAAATAAGAGAATATATGTGGGTGCTGTTATACAGCTCAACTAATGGAAAATGCCCAAGAAGTAACTGTTCCATTCTCATCCCTTCAACCTACCTACTGAAACATGAGAAATTCCAGATTATATTTTGTTGTCAGGGAACAACCTAGAAGTAAATTTCTTACTCACTTAGGTTAGGGAATTAATAGAAATGACAGAACAGAGGTCCAAAGATGATTATGTTTTACTCTTCCTGGTATATTAGGATACAGTAGCATTGTACAAACAAGTAGGCATTTTATGATGTTGTTGTATAGAGAAGGCTCAGATTCTTTGAGAATCACAAACAGGTTACAATATCTGTGAATAAAGTAATTAATTAGCTTTCTCACTTTTCCTATACCTAGGGTCTATCCCAAGTACTTATATTCATGGAATAAAGCACAACCTATTTAGGCAGGAAATTATGGGTCAAATTCAATAATACTCTGTGATAAGCTTGTTGTTAAGTGGCAGAAGTGGAACTGATAAGAATATATATTGCCACATATAACAGGTAAAATATTTACTATTACTAATTGGGATTATGAATTAACTTGCTTTGTACTCAAGGTAACAAATTAGCTACAAACTATGCATGTAGCTCATATTCAAATCTAAAAGGAAGAGAAAGGACATTAATGAGCTGAATAATAGAGTGCTGAACCTAAGAGTCTAGACATTCCTCATCCTAAAGCACCTCACAGCATCTACAAGAATTAGAAGATTAGGTTAAAAGACACTACAAAATAGGGGCGCCTGGATGGCTCAGTCAGTTAAGTGTCTGCCTGCCTTCGGCTCAGGTCATGATCCCAGGGTCCTAGGATTGAGCACCATGTCAGGCTCCCTGCTAGGAGCCTGCTTCTCCCTCTCCCTCTGCCTCTCCCCCTGCTTGTGCTCTCCCTCTCTAATAAATAAATAAAATCCTTAAAAAATAAAAAGTTATGGGGCGCCTGGGTGGCTCAGTCATTAGGCGTCTGCCTTCGGCTCAGGTCATGATCCCAGGGTCCTGGGATTGAGCCCCACATCGGACTCTCTGCTCAGCGGGAAGCCTGCTTCTCCCTCTCCCACTCCCCCTGCTTGTGTTCCCTCTCTTGCTGTCTCTCTCCCTGCCAAAATAAATAAATAAAATCTTTAAAAAATAAAAAAAAATAAAAAGGTAAAAATAAAAAGTTACTACAAAATAGGCTTAAATGATAAATCACTTTAAAACGAAAAAATTTAGAAAAATAAACGCTTACTATATTTATTTTTTTTAAAGATTTTATTTATTTATTCATGAGACAGAGAAAGAGAGAGGCAGAAGCAGGCTTCCCGCTGAGCAAGGAGCCCGATGTGAGGCTCAATCCCAGGACCCTGATCATGACCTGAGCCTAAGGCAGACGCTTAACAACTGAGCCACCCAGACACCCCAATGCTTACCATATTTAAACATCAATTTAAGTAATGTCTCTTATGTACAAATCTATATTTAACCCTTCAAAACTCATACATTATTAACTCCATTTAAGGGATATAATCTTTCATACACTGCAAACAAAACACATGAACTACTGTCAGAGCTGCTAATACTCAATAATTTTGCATCATAAACCCTATATTCAATGAGGGACACAAACAAAAGACCTATAAATTTCTTTTTCTGCTTAATAAAGTAGCAACTGAAGAAAAAATGAGATATATTATTCTGTAGAAAACAGTATGGAGGTCCCTCAAAAAGTTAAAAATAGAAATACCATATGATCCAAATGAGATGTATCAAAAGACTTAATACATAGGACCATGTCATGTTTCATTCACTCACCTAAATATCATTTTTGGAGTACTAGTTAGATGACCTTGTGCAATACCAATTAACATTTCTTTTTTTTTTTTTTTTAAAGATTTTATTTATTTATTTTTTTAAAGATTATATTTATTTGTTTGACAGAGAGAGACACAGCGAGAGAGGGAACACAAGCAGGGGGAGTGGGAGAGGGAGAAGCAGGCTTCTCACGGAGCAGAGAGCCTGATGTGGGGCTCGATCCCAGGACCCTGGGATCATGACCTGAACCGAAGGCAGACGCTTAACGACTGAGCCACCCAGGCGCCCCTTTATTTATTTGACAGAGAGAGTGACAGAGAGAGAGACAGCGAGAGAGGGAACACAAGCCCCCCCAATTAACATTTCTAAAGCTCAGGTTCTTCTTGTTAAATAAGGATAACAACATTCTTCCAGGAGTGACTAATTAGCACAATGCCTGGACAGCAAATGCTCAAATGCTATAGTTCAAGTTAGAAGTTGAATTACAAGGTTCTGTAAGACAGAATTTGATAGTTATTGATATTTCAGATGCAAAGGAGATAAAGTAGTTAAGAGTGGCCTCAGGGAGTTAATATCCATAACACATAAAGAACTGATACAATTCAACACCAAAAAACTCCAAATCATCCAATTAAAAATGGGCAGAGGACCTGAACAGAAATTTTTCGAAAGAACACATACACATAGATGGCAAAGAGACACATTAAAAAATGCTCAAGGGGTACCTGGGTGTCCAACTCTTGATCTTGGCTCAGGTCATGATCTCATGGGTATTGGGATCAAGTCCTGAGTCAGGCTCCCTGCTTGGCAGGGAGTTTGCTTGAGACTCTCTCACCTCTTTCTTTGTCCCTCCCCCCCATTCGTGCATGCACACTCTCTCTAAAAATAAATAATTCTTTTAAAAAAAATGCTCAACATCTGGGGCTCCTGTGTGTCTCAGTTGGTTAAAGCAGTGTGACTCTTGATCTCAGCTCAGGTCTTAATCTCACGGTTATGAGTTCAAGCCCCACGTTGGGCTCCACACTGGGCGTGGAGCCTACTTAAAAAAAAATGCTCAACATCACTAACAATCAGGGAAATGCACCTGTCAGGATGGCAAAAATAAAAAAGATAAGAAATAAGTGTTGGTGAGGATGTGGAGAAAAAAGAATTCTTGTGCACTATTGAGAAGAATGTTAACAGGTACAGCCACTGTGGAAAACAGTATGGAGGTTCCTCAAAAAATTAAAAACAGAAATACCATATGATCCAATAATTCCTTTATTGGATATCTGCCCAAAGGAAACAAAAACATAAATTAACAAAGATATATGCACCCCACCCCTATGTTTATTGCAGCATTATATATGATTGTCAAGATATGGAAGCAACCCAAGTGTCCATCAATGGCAACTCAATTTACTCCACTGAATGAGTAAAGACACACACACACACTGGAATTTAGGCAGCCATAAAAAAGATGAGATCTTGCCATTTGTGACAACATGGGTAGGACAAACACCATATGATTTCACTTGTATGTGGAATCTAAAAAACGAATAAATAAACAAAAAGCAGAATCAGACCTAAGCATGGAGAACAAATTGATGGTCGATGGGGGGGATGGGCAAAATGGGTGAAGGGGAGTGGAAGATACAGCCTTCCGGTTATGGAATGAATAAGTAACAGGAATACAAAGGCACAGCATAGGGAATATAATCAGTGGTCCTGTAATAGCATTGTAGGGTGACAGATGATATCTATACTTCTGGTGAGCATAAGTATAGAGAGATGTTGAATCACTATGTCTTTTTTTTTTTTTTAAAGTAAGCTTTATGCCCAATGTGGGGCTTGAACTCACGACCCCGAGATCAAGAGTGATATGCTCTACACACTGAGCCAGTCAGACACCCCGAATTGCTGTTTTAAATCTGAAACTAATATAACACTGTGTGCCAACTATGCTCAAAAAAAAAAAAAGGCAGCCTCGGGTTAGGTTTCTGATTAGAATATTATGGTACTGTTCACTGACAATAGGGAAGAAAAAGACACAAGACAGACTGGAAAAAGCATTTTTAATTTTGAGGTGCCTAAAAGGCAGAGAGGGAACAGAATGGAGCAATAAAGATTTAGATAGTTGTGGAGAACAGAGGGAGTGGAGCTAAAGCATGTAAGAAGACTTTTAATCAGTTGAAGACTTAGCTCAGATTTTAAATTTACCTGTAGACAATGCCAATCTACATGTGCTTGTGTGATTTTTCTCCAGGAGCGCTCAGCTGACCCAGGTTGTCAACTAACTGAATTGCAGAAGGTTAGTTTCTCTACCATCTTATGCACCATAAGTGATTAAGTATAATAAAGCACAGAATTAATTTTCCCAAGTAAACCAAATTGGAATGTTTAAGTGTAACTGAATGAGGTGAACTTCAATTGCTCCTATGCAGCTGACTAGAGTTAACCAGGTACTTTCAATTTTGCAAATTCTAACACGTGTTGTTGAACCACGTCACTTAGATGGATTTTACACTCTATGATTACAAAGGAAAAAAGGAAGGATTAAAGAGAAAATTATTTCAATAGGGTATCATTAGCCAATCTGATATACATTTAAAAAAATAATAAAAATCACTTACCCATTTTGAAAGGAAATGTTTTGTGTTTCTGAATCATCACTATCACTGATGATAATAGTTTCTCCATCGACACTGCTGACATGTCCATTAGCAAAGCCATTCTGATGTGATGGAGGGAGGACTTCCAAAATCCTACACTGTAACCTGAAAGAAAATGATACATTAAAAAACACAAATTATTTGATATTTATAATCAAGCATTTCAGAACAATCTAATTATTCTGAACAACTTTCTGAAAAGATATTTTGTTTTGTAGAAACTATGACTCATTGATGTAACCAAATTAATAGAAAATCTGTAACATCAAATTTAAGCAAAGGTTAGCTACAATTTAAAATAATACAAAGGTCAATTTATCAAGATTCTTAGCAATTATATTCCTTTTTTTAAAAAAGATTTTATTATTTATTTGTCAGAGAGAGAGAGAGAGGCAGGCAGGAAGAAAGAGAAGCAGGCTCCTTGTTGAGCAAGGAGCCTGATGTGGGACTCGATCCTAAGCCCTGGGATCATGAGCTGAGCTGAAGGCAGAAACTCGACTGACTGAGCCACATAGGTGTCCCAGCAATTATATTCTTAACAACTAAAGTTACTGGTTAGAAAATCAAATACTGGCATAATATGTCATTATACGGATTGGATCTTACAGTTTTTCAAAGCATCCAACATTTTAAATTCTGAAATTTTCCTGATCATAACCTTTTTTATTCTCACTGTAGCTTTTGTTGGCATTTCTGATCTCTATAAAATTTCCTATTCACTAGTTCTACTGCCTCTATTTTTTTAAATTAACATATAATGTATTATTGGTTTCAGAGGTACAGGTCTGTGATTTACCAGTCTTTTTTTTTTTTAAATTTTATTTATTTGAGAGAGAGAGAATGAGAGATAGAGAGCACGAGAGGGAAGAGGGTCAGAGGGAGAAGCAGACTCCCCACTGAGCGGGGAGCCCGATGCGGGACTCGATCCCGGGACTCCAGGATCATGACCTGAGCCGAAGGCAGTCGCTTAACCAACTGAGCCACCCAGGCGCCCACCAGTCTTATATAATATCCAGTGCTCATTACATCACATGCCCTCCTTAATGTCCATTACCCAGTTACTCCATCCCCCTACCCCCTCCCCTCTAGCAACCCTCAGTTTGTTTCCTATGGTTAAGAGTCTCTTATGGTTTGTCTCCCTCTCCGGTTTCCTACTGTTTTATTTTTTCCTCTCTTTCCCTATGATCCTCTCTTTTGTTTCTTAGGTTCCACATATCAGTGAGATCATAAAATTGTCTTTCTCTGATTGACTTATTTCGCTTGGCATAATACCCTCTAGTTCTATCCATGTTGCTGCAAATGGCAAGATTTCATTTTTTGATGGCTGAGTAGTATTCCATTGTATATATATACCACATCTTCTTTATCCATCTGTCGATGGACATCTGGGCTCTTTCCACAGTCTGGCTATTGTGGATACTGCTGCTATAAACATTGGGGTGCAGGTGTCTCTTCGGATCATTACATTTGTATCTTTGGGGTAAATACCCAGTAGTGTAATTGCTGGGTCGTAGGGTAGCTCTATTTTTAACTTTTTGAGGAACCTCCATACCGTTTTACAGATTGGCTGCACCAGCTTGCATTCCCACCAACAGTGTAGGAGGGTTCCCCTTTCTCCACATCCTCGCCAACATCTGTTGTTAGATGACTTGTTAGTTTAGACATTCTCACTGGTGTGAGGTGGTATCACATTGTGGTTTTGATTTGTATTTCCCTGATGCCGAGTGATGTTGAGCATTTTCTTCATGTGTATCTTGGCCATTTGGATGACTTCTTTGGAGAAATGTCTGTTCATTTCTTTTGCCCATTTCTTTATTGCCTCTAGTTTGAGTTCCCTAACCTCTGCCCACTCTATCTGGATTTTATGGGCTGCAACTTCAGACATATTCACCACAATTGAAATATTTCTCTATCCCATTTTTACTATGCCAATTTGCAATAATTAAAATGTAGTATATCCACAATGGAATATTATTCAATACAAAAATTAAAATGAAGTATAGATGAACTTTGAACACATTATGCTAAATGAAATAAACCAGAAATAAAAGGCCACATAGTATATGATTCCATTTATAGGGAATATTCAGAATAGGCAAATCCATAGACAGAAAGTGGATAATCGGTTGCCAGGATCTGGGGGGCAGAAAAGAGAAGAGGGCAAGAGAAAACAACTCTTAGGCAATCCAGGGGGAGGTTTTATTAACTAAGAGTATCTTAAGTATATATACACCTATATTTACCAATGGGGTAAATCCCTTTTCTCTGAGAAAAAGTGGTTCAAGATTAGACAATCAGCTATGTATCATTCATTTGGTCATCCTACGTACCATAAACAAGTTTTGATATATTGTGGGCATTCATAAAACTGCCTGTCTAGTCACCATCCCCATTCTCCCAGGAACTTCATTCTTCCCATACCCCACCTCCCTCCACATGGCTGCTAATAGAGCCGTCATGTTCCCACAGGGTCCTGGCCAGAGTTAGTTGATATTGGGTGGGTACCTTTTTGCTGAGCCAATACATCTTTTCCAAGATTTTATTTTATTTTTTTAAAGATTTATTTACTTTCAGAGAGAGGAAGAGTGAGCGAGAGCACATGTGTGTGTGTGGGGGGGGTGCTCAGAGGGACAGGAGAGAGAGAATCTCAAGCAGACTCCCCACTGAGCATGAAGTCTGACATGGAGCTTGATCTCACAACCCATGAGATCATGACCTGAGCCAAAATCAAGAGTTGGACACTTAACCAACTAAGCCACCCATGAGCCCCAATCTTTTCCAAGATTTTAAAATTTGGAATCTAGAAAGCAAAAATCAGTCCTGTTGGCAGCCATGTTTCCTGCCATGAGAAGCATGTAACTGCAGTGAGAAGATGAAGCCAACAAGAGAAGAGAGGAGAGATGACAAAGATATTAGAGGCAATCAATTCTCTTATTCCTGTTCTTCCTCAGACTTAGCTGTGCTTTGCTCATCTCAGGTTTAGCTATTTAATCTTTCCTTTGATTCAATAAACTGATAACTGACCCTTTTATCTGTTTTTTTTTCAAAATTAATTTTTGTCACTTACAGCCAAAATAAAGAGAACCATACAATTCCAGAAAGACAGTATATTCAGAGTGGACTCATTTTGGGAAGCTGGTGAATTTTTATAAAATAATAGCACATATTTTCATTAGTGTACATTTTATCATGTACTTATTAACTCTCCATTAGAAGTACATCTTTAGTATACTCTAAAATATCTAATAGTACTGTTAGGCACAGAGAAAACAAGGACCATGGATTTCCTGCTAGGAAATATTTGCACTATACCCAAATTGAAGAAAGCAATTGGTTTTATACCACCCCAAGATTTAAGAATTGACAAAATGTAGACTATGTAGGTAAATCCAGCCCTCAAATCATCATCTTTCTTGGCTCATTTTCCCTCATTCTGAGTGTTATATAGGTTCAATTAAAAGTATCATACGTGACTCCTTTACAACTTGCTCTTAAAGAATTGAGAACAAAGGGAGAGGACTCAAATTACTAAAATGAGAAGTAAAAGTGGGGACATTACTAGTGATTTTACTGGAACTAAAAAAGATTATAAGAAAAGATTATGGACAATTGTATGCTGACAAATTGGATAGCTTAGATAAAATGGACATTCTTAGAAACACACAAACTACCAAAACTGGCCCAAGAAGAAATAGAAAATTTGAATAGATCTAAAGTAGTAAGGAGACTGAATGAGTAAGCAAAAACTTTCCAACAAGAAGAACCCATAGCTTCACTGGTAAATTCTACCAAACATTCTAAGAATTAATACCAATTCTCAAAATCTTCCAAAAAATTGAAGAGGATATAACACTTAACTCATTTTATAACACCAACATTAGCCTGATACACAAACCAGACAAAGACATGGCAGAACATATAAAGAACTCTTATAACTCAACAAAAAACAAACAACCTGATTCAAAAACAGGCAAAGGATCTAAACAGACACTTCTCCAAGAAAGATACAAATGGCAATAAGCACATGAAAAGATGTTCAGCCATCATTAATCGTAAGGGAAATACAAAATCAAAACTGCAGTGAGATACCACTTTATACCAAGATGCCTATTATTAAAAGAACAAAAAATGAAAAATAACGAGTGTTAGTGAGGATATGGAGAAAATGGAACCCTTGTGCATTGCTGGTGGGCATATAAAACGGTGTAGTTGCTGTGAAAACAATACGGTGGTTCTAAAAAAAATTAAACACAGAATTATCATATGACCCAGCAATTCTATTTCTAAGTATAAACCCAAAAGAATTGAAAACAGGAACCCAGCAGATACTTGTATACCAATGTTCATAAGGGCTTTATTCACAATGACCAAAAGGTGGAAAAAACTCAAATGTCTACCAATAGGTAAATGGAGAAACAAAATGTGGGATACTCAGCAGCCACAAAAAGGGATGAAATTCTGATACAGGCTACAGCATGGATGAACCTTGAAAACATTATGCTCAGTGAAATAAGCCAAACAAAAAATAACAAGTATTGTATGAATCCACTTATACGAAGTACCCAGAACAGGAAAACTCATAGACAGAAAGTAGAATAAAGGTTACCAGGGTCTGGAGGGAGGGAGAAATAGGGAGTTATTGCTTAATGGGTACAGAGTTTCTGTTTGGAATGATGAAAAAGTTCTAGAAATAGTAGTGATGGTTACATAACATTGTGAATGTACTTAATGACACCAAATCATACATCTAAAAATGATTACAATGGCAAATCTTATGTTGATTTTACCATTTTTTTAAATAATTTTTTTCTGTTCTAACACTAAAGCTTAAGAAGGCTCAATTATCAAGCCTAATTGGTAGCAAAAGCAGATGATGTAAAAACAACTGCAGGCTGACTTTCACCATTGGTTGGCAGAAATAAACCAGTGTTTCTAAAGAGGAACAACTACAGGAAATCCTATCAAAAATGTTAGGTAATTATGTAGCCTAATAATAAAAAGGTTCTCTAATTTAGTGACATGAATTGCACAAAAATATGCAAGGAATCAATTAAATGGACCCACTTTAAAAAATGTATTATTGAGGTATAGTTGACATGTAATGT